GAGTGGATGTAAACGATTAACTATCAGCTCCCGCAACGCATAGACAATACAGTTACTAAAACAAGCTAGAGCTAGAAAGGCAACTTAAAGAAATAACAATTAAATCTCTAGAGAAAAGGAAGAAATTCTAGGGGTCGAGAAATCTCATCAAGTTTCAAACTATGTTGAACGATTATTTGTTCGGTTACGAGATTTAACAAGCCTACACGTCTAGAGGGATATGCTCAATAACTCTTCGTAACAAGAGCACATACATAAACGATAAACTCATTCAAACAAGCAACACATAGACAATACATTTCCGAACAAGTCTACTCTATACGAGCCTAAATCGACCGACATCTCCCCTCTTGGTTCTAAACGTCGATTAACTAGGTTAGAATGGTGATCAACCAACTAACCCTGTAATTCATACAACTCGCATAGATTGAACAAAACACATTCCACAAAATTCAAACAAGAATCAAAATCCCTAACCCTAGGTGAATGGATTACCTCATGCTTAGATTCAGTCTCATGTTAACTGGAATTAAGAACATTAATCCAATCAAAAAAAATAAAATAGAATTGAGAAACTTACAATCGGATTAAGACTTGAAAGATTTCAATCCAAATGTCTTTGTGTCCAACAATCCAAGCATGAGAAAATAAAAAGAAAAAGAAAAGCGAAGAAAATTATCCTAACAATATTGAGTTTTTGGTGAGGAAACTTGAAAGGAACGATATTGGGGGTTGTTCCTTAGGTCTGGAGGTTCGTTTTGATATATAGTGCTAAAAAAACGGAGCTAAAATGAGTAAAAACGAGCAAAAATAAAAACAGGGGTCGACAGAGTCGCGAGTCGCGAGTTGACTCGCGAGTCGCGAGTTGGACGGGTCGCTGGGCTGCTGAGGCTCTGTTGATGTTGCGATTCGCGACTTTTCTCTCGCGAGTCGCGACTAGAACTCGCGAGTCGCGACTTTGTGCTCCCGACTCGCAAGATTCTGGGCTGCACTGCGCCATTTTGCGTTTTTGCCTCGTTTGAGCTTGTCCGAACTCAGAATTGAGTTCTGTTTTTTCCTATTCGTCGGTAACGAACCCCTCTATCCAGTTATGCTCTCGAAACCAACTTTTCCTGAAGAAAAAATTCACCCGAATCTTTCGACCTACACACCAAAAACGACAAAACACAAAAGAAAACCGAAAAAACAAACAAAAAATACCTAATGACTCAAAATGAAGGAAAACACATAACAAAACACGAAACGCAAGAAAAACTAAAGAAACGACCTAAAACGGGGGAAAAAGAAAGATAAAATAAACACAAAAAATGGAACAAAAATGGGACAAACAACTCCCCCACACTTAAACCTTTGTTCGTCCCGAACAAAAAGAAAAGAAAAGAAAAGAAAGGACACAAAACTAAAAACTCGAGCATGGACAATAGTCATTAACAAGATAAGCTTCAAAATGTTCAACTTCAACAACAAACATTCAAATGGCATATACGAGCACCACACAACTACATGCTTGATCACTATACTTCGACATGGCGTTCTCTCAGTATGGGAATATATATGTGTGCCTCACTCGAATTCTTATACAAATAAAGATAGGTGCACTCAAATTGGTTGATAACAAGTTCAATCATATGCTTGCCCATTGTCTAACTTCTACTCTAAACCAATCAAAATCGAAACTAGTGCATCAAAAGGTCTTTTCGGGTTGTAACGTAGGCTCTTTGGATAGGTAGGATAAATATAGGCTAAGTGGCTCGAATTCATTACATAACTCAAACACCTTACCCAAGAATCATACACTCAACTGGTTGCTCAAACAAACCGGATTCTCCCCCACACTTTACCTAAAACCACACGTTTCACCCATCTTATTTCTTTTTCTCTTTTTCTTCTTTTTTTTTCTTTTTTTTTT